CACTTCTTTTACACAGGATTCTAACTTGCTGTGGTTCCTCCAGATCAAAGCAGCATGGAAGCGGCAAATCAGAACAGCAGCAGCAAGGTAAGCATAGTGTCCCCAGACAGCCTTGGGAGAGGCAGCCTGGGTATTGCAAAAAAAGAGCTGGGGATTTGGGGACAGGAAACCTGGATCTGAGTCTCTGTTCTACCACTTTCTCACCCTGGGGCTCTGACCAAATCACAACTTCCCAAGATGCCAGCTTTTATTTATGAAATGGAGGGTGATGTGTGCTTCTAAGAGCTGCCTTGAGAACTAACTCATTGGAACTAAGCGAAGGTTTTCATCCAGGTGTCAAATGTTATTACCTTTATTTTAGAATTACACACATCACCAGTCTCAGCCAGAGGTAACTGCTGGCTTTACCAATAGGAGTTTTGTCACTGAAAACAGCCCCAGGGTTGGTTCCAACAGCATGAACAGCAGATTCAGAAGGTGGAAGAGTAGGAAACGTGGAAGCATAGAGCACAGGAGCGAAGGGCAGGGAAGCCAGACTGCCTGGGTTCTCATCCCACTGGGTGACGCTGGGCAACTTGTTTGACTTCTACACGCTTCAGTCTCCATCTACAAACTGGGGATAACAGTGGCACCGTCGGTGCCCATTATTTGCGGTAGCGATACTTTACCAAATCTCTGTGAACACTGACTTGGCAAATATTAAACCAGTGATCCTAGGGCAAGGGAATACGGGCTTAGGTTCCTGTGAGCCTCTGGTCAGAATATTTTTGTCCACTGATCAACACGTAACCATGGGGACTTCCCTGGCCGTCCAGTGGTTAAGACTCTGCGCTTCCACTGCACGGGGCAAGGGTTCAATCCCTGGTCGGGAACGAAGATCCCACGTGTCTCGTGACCAATAAATAAATAAATCAATAAATACATAAAACATTCGCTGTCACCTATTAAAATCTTTTAAAAATCAGAAATAAATTATTTTTAAAAATACATAACCATGCTTTATGTCCTTCCGTTTTAAGACACCTTATTTAATATATGCGGTTGATTCATCAATATTGAACCCACAGCCAACAGGACTATAACTCATGTTTGAAGAAGCTTATCTAATAACACACCTGTTTTCTCCCTAAGGCACAGCACAGCCTTCTAGCACTTCGGAACTCTAGACATAATTCCAGCACTACCCTTGGGGGCCATTTTAAACAACAAAATCACCAACCAAAAAAAAAAAAAAAAAAAAAAAAAAGCTCAAAAACGCCAAGAGTTGCACTAATGAGACCACAAAGAGGACACCTCGTTATAGTAGGAGACCTGAAACAAGAAGGCAGAGCATCTCCTATGTGAGCTGGGAACATGCACATCAGTAAATCAAATTTTCCTCCACTCTGTGTGTGTCTACAAAGGGTCGCACAATGCTACAACTACTGATTTGAGCGTTATACAAATAAGTTTTAACAAGGAGGCAAATTTGCACATACAGAATCCGCAAATAATGAGGATCAACTGTACCAGACTCACAAAGTAGCTCTGATGATTCAATGAATGAATACAGATAAAGCACTGAGAACTTCCCCATGTGCAGGAAGCACTCCACAGACGTTCATTATTATTGGGGAGTCAAATATGTCCATAACATATCACATGGTGTAAAAGGCTTAACAAAACTGTGAGAAAAGAACTTAGATGGTGGTAGAGAACCACAGGCGAGGGAGTATGGCATAGAATAAAGAAATCAAAAACCAAAACGCAGGAAATTTCTTCCCTAAAGCAATCTTCCACTTAACCTATTTATCTCTCTTTCTCTCCACCAAAAGGTTACACTCCCCAGGCCAGCCGTCTATCTTTCCGCTCTCACATACATTCTCTGGATGCTTTGTCCTTTTTGCAACATATGGTAGGACACTACATTTCCCCAACTCCCTCACCAACTGGCTTCCAGGTAGGGTTGGCCTGTGGGAGACAGCAGCAGCAGCTGGGAGGACAGGTGCAGGGAAGAGCCCGGGTCTCTCATCCCCTTTCCATCCACCCACCGGCATCTCCTCCAGGGATGCAGCCCTTTCCAAAGGGTTCTACTTCCCGTTTCTGCTAACACTTCCAACTCCCATGCTCCCTGCAGCCCTCGGGGTGGATTTCTTCTGGTGGCTGCAAATCTCTGGGTTGTCACATGCTCTTTGGTACATCAATGTCACCTCTTCTGTCACCTACAAACCCAGTTTTCTGTAGTAGGTCCTCTGGTCATAATGCCTAGTCCAGTTATCCTGACTGACATGATACCACATGTGGCTCCAGAAGGATGCTAAACCTGCAACCTTCCTGCCAAGACCAGCTCCACTACACACACACACACACACACACACACACACACACACACACACACACACACACACACCACACACACACACACGGTCCTTTCCACAATCTCACCTCACATTCAGACTCTCTGGATTGAGGACAAATAAAGGTGCTTTGGTTTGCTTTCTTTTAATTCACTGCTGCCAGAAGAAAGTGCACTTACAAAACTATTAGAGTTACTTCAGCTTTTTATCAAGTACGTTACCTTCCCCTTTCAACAAGGGTTACTGGCTGCCCCTGCTCCAACAGTCTCCTTCTGCTAAGTGCTATTTACTTTTAAAAGACTAAGCAGTACTCTCCCCTCACACATACCTTGATTTAAAAAAAAAAAAAAAAAAAAAATGTCTGGGGGCCATAGTTTTCTGAGCTTTGGACTCAACCAAGAAAGAGGAAGGCATGAGGGACAGGATAGAAAAGAAATGGAAATCCTCGGAATATAGGAAAGGGAAATCCCAAGATGGAGTCTGTGTAATAAATGTAGCCATTGATCAATGCACGTTGGAGCAGTCCAGGGGCAAACAAAAAAAAAAAAAAAAAAAAATCCAAATGCAGCCGATGGCACATGGCCAATTTCCTCTCATGGTCAGCACTAGTCACAGCTGCTGCTGACAGCAGCCAGTATAATCAATGCCCATTAATTCTGAGGCAATTTCCAATCTTCTCTTCCCATTGTTTCTTACTCAGGGCATAAAAATGCAACACCTGACCATAATCACGAACAGACATAAAAGAGGAGTAAACAAGATCAGGTGGATAAAAGAACGCAAGAGGGAAGAAGATTCTGATAAGTGAATCACAGAACCAGGGGAAAGGGGGCCTGTGGGCAATGCTCGCTGCTCACTGAATGCCTGTTCCCTTCTCCGCCCCAGACGCACAGCTGGATGACGTGTCCCAGCAAGGTGAGGCCAGGGGACCTACGTCTGTGCCCCCTTGCAGGGGGCCAGAATGAACACCACTGCAGGGGTTCACAAAGTCAGCACCTTTTTTTGGTTAATTGAAGCAGAGGTGATTTAAAATATTGTAATAGTTTCAGGTGTACAGCAGTGATTCAGTTATACATATATATGTATATATCTATATTCGTTTTTCTCTGATTCTTTTCCATTTTAGGTTATTACAAGATATTGGATATTGTTTCCCATGCTATACAGTAAATCCTTGTTGTTTATTTTATATATAGTAGTATGTATCTGTTAATGCCATACTCCCAGTTTATCCCTCACCCCTTTCCTTTGGTAACCATAAGTTTGTTTCCTATGTCTGTGCATCTGTTTCGTAAATAAGTTCATATGGACTATTTTTTTAATTATTTGTTTTTGTTTTTGTTTTTGTTTTTGCTGTGCGTGGGCCTCTCACTGTTGTGGCCTCTCCCGTTGCGGAGCACAGGCTCCGGACGCGCAGGCTCAGCGGCCATGGCTCACGGGCCCAGCCGCTCCGCGGCACGTGGGATCTTCCCAGACCGGGGCACGAACCCGTGTGCCATGCATCGGCAGGCGGACTCTCAACCACTGCGCCACCAGGGAAGCCCCTTGTACTATTTTTTAGATTCCACATAGAAGTGATATAATATTTGCCTCTGTCTGACTTACTTGACTTAGTATGATAATCTCTAGGTCCATCCATGTTGCTACAAATGACATTATTTCATTCTTTTTTATGGCTGAGTGATATTCTGTTGTATATATGTACCACATCTTTATCCATTCATCTGTCGATGGACATTTAGGATGCTTCATGTCCTGGCTATTGTGAATAGTGCTGCTATGAACACTGGGGTGCATAGATCTTTTCAAATCCGACTTTTTCCAGATATATGCCCAAGAGTGGGATTGCTGGATCACACGGTAACTATTTTTAGTTTTTTAAGGAACCTCCATACTATTCTCCATAGTGGCTGTATCAAATTACATTCCCGCCAACAGTGCAAGAGGGTTCCCTTTTCTCCAAACCCTCTCCAGCATTTATTATGCTAAATGACTTCTTAAAAGGGGTAATTTCCCCACCTCCACCAGCCTATAACTATGAACTAGGAAAAAGAAACTTGCACTGGGTATGACTATACGTATAGACACAGACACACACACACACACACACACACACACACAGAGGTCCTTCTGTTACAGAAGGTCACAAACGCAGGATGTGTGCCTTTCAAATGAGCTGGGCAGATATCTGGTCAAGGTGGCCAAAAGCATATATGAAATAACCCCCAGCAGGTCCCTTCCAGACAGATCTCTATAAAGAGAGATCACCATTTGGGTGAGGAACACAGAAATGGGCACTGTTCCTGGTTCCTCATCTCCTGTCGGGGAGAACAGCGCCCTGCAGACCAATAACACTTTCACTTTGTAACATAAAAACAAGGATTCACAGAGGTCAGGGTGGGCCCTCCAGCAGAAACAGAGCTGAGACCCCCATCTCCCAGGTCAGTGCTACTACTCAAAGAAGGTGGGAGCATCCACAGAGGGGGGCCAGTCCACCAAGTGTTTCTGGTCTTTGAAGAGCTAAGTACCAAAACTGAGGGTAAGTGTCCTTTTAACTTTTACAGTCAGTGGACAGGGTAACTCTATGTCTTCGAATCTCATAATAAAATTGAAGGCTAGTATTTTATACTTCCTTCTTTTTTTTTTTTTTTAGATTAAGTTGTTTCAAACTAGTTTCTTTAGGGGTTCCATTTTCACTCCTCAATAGATTTTACGCATTTCTCATAGGCTTCTTCACTCATTAGTTCATCTAGTTCCGATGGGCTGCTGAGTGTCATCTTGATCAGCCAACCATCTTCATAACAAGATTTGCTGACAAGTCCTGGATTTTCTGCTAGAGCTTCATTCATTTCAGTTAATTCTCCTGATAGAGGAGAATAGAGTTCACTAGCAGCTTTCACACTTTCCAAAGCACCAAATTCCTCGTTTGTTCAATTTTGTCCCAACTTCAGGCAGACTACAGTAAACAACATCTCCCAAAGCTTCCTGGGCAAAATTGCTGATTCTCACTGTCCCAACACTGTTTTCTGGTGTCACCCATTCATGTTTGTCTGTGAATTTACGACCCGACAGCAGAGCGAGTCCGGTGCGCAGCGCCCGGATGGCGCCCGCCCGCAGTCCCCAGGGCCGCGGCAGGCAGGGCACGTTGGGCGCAGAGACGGCGCGCAGGCTGCAGACCGCGGCCCGCACCCTCCGTGCCACTCGCAGCACCACGTGCGCAGGGGACCACTTCCTTCTTTCTTTAATTTCACTTTTTCTAGCAATTTATTCTTATGGTACCAGACCATGATGATTTAGAATTTTAAAAAACGGTTCCAGGTCCCTGGTGGCACAGCGGTTGAGAGTCCGCCTGCCGATGCAGGGGACACGGGTTCGTGCCCCGGTCCGGGAAGATCCCACATGCCGCGGAGCGGCTGGGCCCGTGAGCCGTGGCCGCTGAGCCTGCGCGTCCGGAGCCTGTGCTCCGCAACGGGAGAGGCCACAACAGTGAGAGGCCCGCGTGCCACACACACACACACACACAAAAAAACGGTTCCATTTCTGCAGGCACCCAGAGTCCCCAAACTCTTCAACCAAATTCCCATGGCCACCGCACCCTCTTCCCCAATCCTTCCTGACTCACCCTCACCCAGGCTCTCCTCTACCTTTCACCCTTCCTTTCCAGCAGGCATCTCCCTTTAAATGGGTGGTGGTAAACTTTCCGGTAGCCCCTCCGATGCATGAGCAGTGGGCACTGACTCCTGTGAGCCATCCTGAGCTCAGACCAAAAGGAAGAGTTAAAAGTAATCAGTCATCCGTCCACACATCTAAAATAACACAGGACTCCGGTCCCAGAAAGCCATCACGGTAAAAGAAGAAAAAAACCGTCCGTGGCCCTTACCCACGTTAATTAACCCGAGGGAGAGCCTCAGCCTACCCAACAGATGCTCTCTATCCATCACTTAAACCTGAGACGCAAAGTAAAGCAACCTTCGCCTGTCTCCTCCAGGGAGGTCGACATACGTGGAGAGATGCCACGCCGGCTTGGGGAGAAAGGAGGTTACTGACAGAGTGAGTCACGTGTGCGGCATCAGGTATGATGAAGTGTATTATGGGAAGGGGACATGGAGACGGCATTAGCTCTGTCCAGCGGGACCCACTGAACTGCCCATTACAAGGGAGTCCTGAACTAGTGGAGGAGGAGGACTTGGAGAGAAGGATTTAAACACATACACCTCCTTGAAAATGAATGAAGAGAAACCGTCTAGATGACAATGACTGGACAGTGACGTAACGAATGAAACCATAGGAAAGGGCGGAGCCAGGCAGCACCAACCCTCCCCGGAGCGTTCCAGGCAGGCCACGTGTTTTAAGACTTTCCAGGGACAAAAGGATGGCAATTTTAACAGATGCCAACATCGGCACCTTTCACAGTTACTAAGACGTGTCATCCACGAGTTCAGAAAGGCAGGGACTCGAGGGGGATGTAAATGAGCAAGTATTCCACTAAGTCTCTGCACTTGTCTGGGTATCTGAAATATTTAAACATTTTTCAGTATTTTTTTTCAAGTATCACCAGAGAACAGACACATGACGCTGTTTTGAAACGTCTTGCCACAAACCGGGAATTCTGATTGGATCCAGTCCAAACCAGGCATGCCTTGGGAAGACAACTGCTCTGCTGTTCCACGTCTGGCCTGGTGACAAGGGGCAGCCCCTGACCTCTGCCCTGCACCCCACCTTTCCCTGGGGCAGACAGGGCATCGAGGTTAATCCAACGTGCCCAGCTATCGATGGGCGGCAGCTGTCTAGAAAGACCGCAGGCAACTCTTGGGCTTGGAGAAGGAGGGCCGAGATGGAGATCCAATGTGCACCACAGGCAAAGGGCCGGGAAGGGGACAAGCATCCTCAGCTGACTCTCTTCCCAAATCCTGTGGCCACCATCAAGCTGGTTCAAGAGCCTGTCCCTGCCCCACTCCAGGCAGGCCATGCAGTGGACGCGGCTGCACGGCACACAGCCAAGGTCAGGCACTGACATTTCCCAAGACGTGACTAACAGCCTGGGAACCACAGAAAGAAATCTGAGCACGGACAGTGAAGGCTGTTTCATCTTAATTGCATCCAAGACTCGCCATCTAAGCCCCCATTTGTGTTACACCTCTTCCAAGATGACTCATCTTTGATGCCAACAGGAGAACGCCATGAACTTGAAAACTCCATCATCTGGATTTGCTGATGACTGTATTTCAATGCCTGCATGAGCAGGATAAAAAGAAAATGAAACCAAATTTTTCCTGCCTATAACACCTGTTTCTTTTTGACACTCATTGGCTCGGCTCATCCTGCTGCCACACGCCAGGTTGTGTACTCGCCACTGGTGGTGTGAAAAGGAATAAAGCCAACCCTCGTGCTCAAGGAACCTACAGTCTAGAGAGACCCACAGTGAGGAACACGCCCTCTGCTGCCCTCCTGCGCCTTAGGCTTCTCCTCTGGCAGCGTGTGTTCACGAGATCTGCTGGGGTGGCCATGGTTTTAACTTCCATTTTTATCGACACTGCATCCTTCTCTTCCGTTCAGGTCTCCAGAAATGAAACTCAGAGATGGTTGTTTGAGAAACTAAGGCACAAAAAACCAGGTACAGATCTACCAACCTATGTGAGAAACATTTTCTGACACCCATTTCCCAGCAACACGCTTTCTTACCACAGACTCTGTGGCAGAGTTAGAGTCGTTTGTTTCCAGAAGTCAATCATTTCCCTGATCTAAACTGACTCAGGGTTACACATAAACCCAAGCCTAAAGCTGGGACTTCTTTCCCGTTGAATCAGAAGAAAGACCGTTTTACAAAATGGCCAGGGGAGAGGGGTGACTGCTTCTCCACCTTCAGGAAGACCCAACCACCTCCAGAGTCCTGGGCGTTGTCAAAGTGTGGAGAGTGTGCTTTAAAATCTGAAGCCTAATTTAAAAGATGGTAAGACACGCAAACTCATCTGTGATACGGCTTTCAAGTTATAAATGTCAGTGACAGCCAGTCTGCTGCGTTGGGAACTCCTCCAACAGGTTGACAGCAGCCCAATTCCATGGTTCTGGAGGAGGCTGACAGACAGCTGCTCTTTCAGTAGTTATTTTGAAAGGAGCCAAGAGGCCCTTCCAAAGGCAGCTAGGTATTGGCGCGCTGAAGGGGGAAGGTGACACCATATCTGGTGGCAGGTAGACACAGCCCAGGAGTGCCACATGACGCCAACACGTCTGCGTGCTCCACAAAGACTGTCAACCCCACACAGTGCAGGAAAAAAAGAAAATCACAGCAGAGGAGAGGCAGAAAGATGCACATCCTTCCCAGAGCATAAGCCATTGCACCTGGGTATCAGGGACCGCAGACCCAACTCCTATCCTTCACGATGCCAGCCTGCTACAGCCCCAGCTGCCATGCCTGGCACCTCTTGGAGGGCAGTGAACGGACTTCCTTCTCTGTCGGCACTTCACTAGTTTCAGAACAGACCCTTGAAGATAGATGGTTTACTTGTCCGGTCCCTGAACTGAAAACCACTCCCTTTCAGTCATGTGTGTGATGTGGAGGTAGGGGGATGTGTAAGAGGGATTAAATATGCTTGTTCTTAGACAAAACCGTGTGTCTTTAGACACGCAAAATCTCTTTGAGGTTCTGACAGAGACACTTCTTGTTTCTCTGGTTTCTCCCAGCGGGACAAACTTTCAAGGTGACAGCTAGAGAGAGAGAAGCCTCTGATAAAAGTCACATGGTCACATAATTTGAGTTCTAACTAAGGCTTTTATTCACATCAGACATTCATCTGCTTGTCAGTTGCTGGAACGGATTTTCCTGTGATGTTGTTAGGGACAAAGTTTGTTCAAAGATCCACACACATAAGAGAAACAAGAATTATGAATGTTTCACGTTTCATTCTGCTGGTCCCATAACCTTGACACCCAAATCCTATTAGCCTGTAAAAATCCAAAAATTCTGCTCCCAAGTTGAATGTCTGATTTACCAAGGTGACTCTCAAAGGTAGCTTAGACAGTGGTTTTAAGCACTCAGGACTATTCATACAGTTAGAACAAGGAAGCACTCAGCAAAGTGCTTCCTCCATAAAATATGTTCATCACTGGGGGCTTAGGAAAATGTTCTCCGTGAACAATTCCTTGATACAGACACAGTTCAGAGATTGTGCAGTCATTCTGAGTCACACTCTCCACTTCACTGGCTTTGCTTATTTATGTTCACACCATGATCCTCTGTGTCTGAAGGGGCCAGCCCTTCCACCTAAGAGTATCAGGCCATAATCCAGCCCAATACATTTACGTTTGATAATGACTAAGTAATAAATGACCTTCTGCTCCAGTCACTTTACTAATTCGAGGCAGATAAAACATTCTTGCCCAGCTAACCCAAAAGATAAATTCCACCAGGTCTCAACCAAATAGCCAGAGACGTACGTCTCCTTGGGATTGAGTTGCACTAGAAGGGCAACCCCCTGGCCCTTTGGGACTGTGGTGCATTTTGATGGTTCCAAATGCTAACGTCTGACTCAAATCCTCGGTCGGGTCTGTGCTTAGCCAGGTAAATGTGTGCTTACTATGGTACTTACATGGCCTGATGGATCCGCCTCCAATGTCTACTATAGAGCAGTAATCACTCCTGCAATCACAAGAACAAAGACATTTTTAAGTTTCTCCTCTTTAAGAACTTGATCCATTGCAAACAGACAGGCTGACAAAGAGCTTCTGCGAACTAGGCCTCTCACATTTCGGAACCCGACTGCCTTTTAAGATAAATACCGAAAAATAGCTAGGTGAGCATTCCCTGTCACTTCAACACCCAGAGGCATTTATCGAAAAAATTACATTATCTCACTTGTTAGGATCCAAATCCATCCATTATTAGTTCAGCAGGAGTAAGGCTACCTTTGGCAAAGATGGAGCATCTCCACAAAACCTCTCTTTGTTCCAAGTCTCAGGAGGCATTAAACCAAAGCTTTTACCAATCCTAACACTTTCCGGACTAGACTACATTAATTTATCCACACAGTCTCAAGTAGGTGTATACACACGATTTAAAAAATACATAGCTCTACGACAAAACCCAAGGAGTCTGCGATACGAGATAAAGCCAGTTGAATTACAAGCCTGTTCATTTAAATATAACAGATTACTTGTACCTGCTTCACCTTGAATAAAACCAGAAAAGCAGTAAAAAGCCATTAGAAATATACCTACTGTGTGTGCTTCTGATATCACTAAT